AAAAGTAAAAAAAAAAAAAAAAAAAAATAGAACGAAGAAACGAGACGAAAAGTGAAAAGTTGCTTCTCGAATAGCAGTTTAAAAACGACTTGTGTGTGAGACACAGTTGCACGACAATGACAACGAGAGAGAGAGAGGGGGGTCCTCTAATCGATGAGTTAATTATTTGTCGGGGATTATACGTTATACCGGTGAACCACGATACGTCCTCCGGGCGGATGAACGGTGCCACTTAACGAGACGTTAATTAGCAGGTTAAATTGCCAGTCGACCAGTGGACGTTGAACGACATCGGTGGTTAAGTCTCGCGATCGATTCGCAATGTGTTACAACAGGATGTGGGAGAGATGTCTCGTCTCTCTCCCGATAAATATCAGACTTGGTAGAGGTAATGATTTGCATGCTCTACGGCCAATAATAAATTGAATCTACTCTGCATTCCTACGCTTTCTGCGTCTCTTCCTCTCTTATGAACACGTCTCTTCTGGCCGGAGTCAAGTATACCCGTTTCTTTCTTTTCTCCGCCTTTGCTTTGACGCTCTTGCCAATCCCTGTCTCGTTCTTTCATCTCTCACACGTCCGCAGAGATTCCTCAGCCACCTCTACCTCCTCTCGCTCACATTCTACACTCCGCGTGGACGTAATATGACAAAAAAGATTGGATGGATGAATTTGAGAATTTCATTTCGGAACGTTTGGAAGTTTATTCCAACTGTACATTGTTGGATAATTAATTTTTGTTATAGGGGAGATTTAATTCAGTGGGGAAAATCAGAGATATCTGGTTTGGGGTAGGAATTTGGTGGTTTGCCTGAAAATTTGATGATTCATGATACCGCTGTTCTGCGGCGAAAGGAATCGATGGAGTGCACACACACTGCGAGTTCATGATTGTTTGAACGACGTTCGAGTCGATGCACATCGCCCCGATTGAATAATCCACTATTTGAATCTGACAAATATTCCAGACGAGTCTTTAAAGTTTTAAATCTTTAAAGTTCTTAAATCTTTTAAAGCCTTTGAATCTTTAAAATTCGAATTCTAAAACATATCTCTCCGAGTACTTTGAGAATTGTTGGAGAGTGTTTCAAGTATCGCAAGCATCACGACACTTAAATATAACAAAACAGGAGTATAGAAATTTTCTAAGGAAAAAAAAAATTATCGAAATTATACAACACGAAATTCGATTTGCTAGAATGTTGTAATAGAGAAATTTGCTCGTTGTGGTGAGGATTAACGAAATAGTTGTAATAAAGCGGATAGAAGGAGGACGATGGCCAACGAACCAGAAATTCGGGTAATCCGATGTGCCGTAGATTTCACTGGAGTTTTGCGAAATCTTTGACAGTAAAAATAGAATGTAGACAGAGGTACAGAATGAAAAGTCGATCAATATTCACCACAGGAATCGCCTTACGATTCGTCAATGTAGTTGTGCATATACTTTCTCCGAATGGCTTCTAGAAAATCAGATTTCTTATTTTAGAACTAAACAATAACATATTGACGTTGCGAGTTATAAAAGTGATCATGATCGATCAATTTGACAACTTGACACTTGAAAAACCTCTTGCGCTGGAATGACGTACCACGCACGTCGAGAACTTTTTGTCCTCAAAATTGCTATATTTCCTCCAGTTTTAAATATATTTAAGTATAATATAATATAATCCAGGCAAAGCAAATAATAAATTTATTACTTCTCAATAATTTCTGTCCAGTGATATCATACCGGCGAGTTCAAAAGAAGAAGAAAGCGACGAATTATTGTGTACGGTTTTGGTCACTCGTTATGGTCCGCAATCAGTCGCCAGTGCAAGTGATTAACCTCTGCCACGCACGTCGAGAACTTTTTGTCCCCAAAATTGCTATATTTCCTCCAGTTTTAAATATATTTAAGTATAATATAATATAATCCAGGCAAAGCAAATAATAAATTTATTACTTCTCAATAATTTCTGTCCAGTGATATCATACCGGCGAGTTTAAAAGAAGAAGAAAGCGACGAATTATTGTGTACGGTTTTGGTCACTCGTTATGGTCCGCAATCAGTCGCCAGCGCAAGTGGTTAACCTCTGCCACGCATTTTGTCCCAAAAATTGTAATATTTTCTCAGCTTCAAGTATATTTAAGTAACACAAAATAGACAAAGCAAATAATAGATTTATTACTTCTCGATAATTTCTATCCAGTGATATCATACCAACGAGTTCAAAAAGAAAGCGACGAATTTATTGTATACGGTTATGGTCCGCAATCAGTCGCCAGCGCAAGTAGTTAAAATAGGTAAAACGAAGTTTGAAATTATACTCTATTATTTAATTAAAAATCAATAATTGAACAAACGAATCAAATAGCACCGCTGAATCACAGGTATTTTCGTTTAGGCAGATTATCTAATTTCAGAGTGTGCGTATTTGATTCAAATTCAGTTAAATGTCGACAAAACAATTTTAATCTTGTAAAATGTACAAAATGAAATGTCCCAAAATGAAACTCCTGAAGACAAGAATACTAAACGAGGATCAGTAACACTTGTATTATACAAATCACAATTATCTTGTAACTGCAATTTCAGGTCGAGATTTCAGACTTACCGATTCAAAAAGTTCTCTCGACGCATGTCTTGTGCCACGAGATACATCCTTGTAAACTCTTCGAAACTCGCTCCCAAGTTGGCAGTCCCAACTGTTGCTTGTTGTTCCACCTGGAAGCAACCGTGCCAGCCCCGAAGGTAGAATTTTCGAAAGCAAACTTCTCAAACTGGACGATCTTCCCTGCTCTTCGAAAGATTTAACAGCTATCGACCTCGTTTATCCGATACGGCTCCCAAGTACCTTTCCCAGTCATCTGCAAAAAGCAGATCGGTCGAAGCATGTTCACAAAGTGTATACGCAAGTTCTTGTTTGCGTGACCGGAGGCACTTGCTGTTAATCGAGCAGCCGTCTCCGTTGCATTCAAATCCCGTTTTACACCTTGTTTCTTTTCATTGACTCGCCTACACAAAGGTGGTATATTTTTGACAAAGAAATTGAGATCACTTGAAATTTCTTTCAATATTGAATTGAAGCGTGCGATTCTAGTAGCTGAAATTCGTTGACACTTGTATTTGAACTACAAATTAATAATCACTACAGGTAACGTGTACAACTAATTTGCCCAACCGACGAAGATCAAGGATCTAAATACACAGATAAAAATATCTATAGTAGTATAATAAATACTAAGCTAATGTCTGTAGTAATGTATTAAATATCAAATGCCTATGATAAATATTAAACTAACATTTAGTATATTAAATATATACATATATGTGTATAAACTTTAATAAATATTTAGTATTTAATATACTGTGATTTACAGTATACTGGAATTAATATACTATCTATAGCAGGAATTGGTATATAATATACAATATAGTATACTATCTATAGCAAGAATTAGCATGCAATATACAATGTAGTATCAATATACAATATCAATAATAATATATTACCATGATATACAATATTAATAATAATACAACACAATAGTATCAATATGCAATATAGTTTTTATACTATCTACAGCAAGAATTAGTATACAATATAGTAAACTATCTATAGCAAGAATTAATATGCAATATATTATCTATAGCAAGAGTTAGTATACAATATACAATATAGTATACCATTTATAGCAAGAATACAATATACAATATAGTATACTATCTATAGCAAGAATTAATATGCAATATATTATCTATAGCAAGAGTTAGTATACAATATACAATACAGTATACCATTTATAGCGAGAATTAGTATACAATATACAATATAGTATACTATCTATAGCAAGAGTTAATATACAACATAGCATATCTATAGCAAGAATTAGTATACAATCTACAGCAACATGTTAAACATTTCCCAACATGTGATTCAAATTTACAACCTGGTGATTTTACATAATAAAAAAAAGTACTTGGCGAATTTGCTGTTACTGATTTGTTTAACGAGTTAAAGTAAGTGGTCCTGGGCACCATGGTCAAGTATACTGTAACGTATACCTCAGCGAGTGACGCATCAGAGGTGGAAACTACTGGAAGCACGTTAGGCGAGTAGTAAGTGTGGCAGTAGGATGCGAGGAACCGTTAGCTCGGTTCCGGCTATTTTTATTATTATTATTATTATTATCGCACTGCACTTCAACCACTGGTGGCTTGAGAACGAAAGCGGCGCTGTTCCATCGCGGAGATCCATACGCGGAGATCGCCTCGATGTTCTGACCTATAAAACCGGCGCCGCGTTCCTCGCGTGGCAAAGCCATAATGACGATCTGCCCGTTCGTAAGATCCGCCGAACGTTTCCCCGTTCCGTCACGCTCGAATAAATTCGTGTCAAGGTGCGCCGCTTCTTTACGCGGCATCGAAGATATTCTCTCTCGCTTCCGGGCCACGAGAATTTTCCCTTCCTCTTGACGACCTCTTCTCTTCTCTGTTTTAATTGAAAGAGGCGGCAGTAGAATTTGGAGGAGCCGATCGACCGAAATTGGGCCCTCGCATGTGTTGCAGGACTCTTCATCGTGTTGGATCTTTTACTGATTTCGACGTTGAAATATCGTACTGTTTCTTCTTCAATTTGTTGTAGCAATTAAGTTTACAGAAGACTTATCTTGAGGCTCGTGAAAAAATCTTATTATTAGTCTAAGACGAGGGAATAGTTTTAATTACTGCGAATCAGCTTGCGAGAAAAATTATTGCATAATTATTAACAGCATAGTATTTTTGGATTAGATAAAGAAGACGTAATGAATTAAACGTTGAGATTTTAAAAAGAATTAAATCGAATAAACGTCGAGATTAATGAAATTGCTACGTGATTAATTAGCGATATCAAGTTTCGAAAGAGTAAAGCCACCTGTATGTATCGATAATTTTTGAAATTTCCGAAAAAGATAATTATATACATTCAAAAGATAAAAAAAAAAGATAATCATATACCTACACACAAAATAATTATACTCGAATTACTACAAAATAATTATACTCGAATTCAAAAAAAATCATATACATTTCAAAAGATAAAGAAAAAAAAAAGATAATCATATACCTAACACACAAAATAATTACACTCGAATTACAGAAAGTTACTTAACATCCAACACAATGAAATATCGTTACAAAGATATGTTACACCTAAAACGCAAAGTACATATGTTTCTGACATTGCAGAGCCATCGTTGAAGGCGATAGGTCGATGCCCAGCCTTCGAGGAGCAAAACGTGTGTCCGGCAAGAGCGCCAAGTTGCGAGAATGACTTCCAGTGTCAGGCGTCGGGAGAACGTTGCTGCAAGACAGCCTGCGGTACGAAATGCGTCATCGGTCAGTTAACAGGCTGCGAACAGCTGGCGCAGGCAGCCGTGAGAAGATCGCGCGCCCTTGGTCCCCGCGGGCCGCCGCAATTTATACCAAAGTGTAACAACGAGACCGGCGAATTCGAAAGGGTGCAATGCCATCAGCGGGAGAGAAGCTGTTGGTGCGTGGACGAGATCGGCGTCGAGGTCCCAGGCACCAGGGGATCCAGCAAGGACGTGATCGATTGCGACAATCCCCGTGAGTGTCCCGCGCATAGCTGTCGGATGCTTTGTCCACTGGGCTTTGAGGTAAACTTTCAAACAAATCTTCAGATACAACGATTAAATCGCGGCTCTTGATCCTCTTTAGGAAAGCCAGGTCGCTTTATGTTGTTAATCTTTCAAATCTGCCTAATGGAAGAACACTCGCAAATATAGATGCTTGACTGCATTCCATAGAAAAAAAAAAAAAAAAAGAAGAAGATTAGCGTAATTCCACTTGAAGATCATCATTCTTTCTTTTTCTTTGTTCCTCGACGAATCTCTCGTTTCTCCGTTTTCGTGCAAAGAGTAGAGATATAAACAACACATTTTCATTTCGACGAGAGCACAAAAATAATTCTCTCCTCGGTTCAACTGCGCGTTACATACTTTTTCCACGAGAGAAACTGAACTCTCGGGCTCTATGCACCGACCTATCGAACAGCTGGTCTCATTAATCACTTCCGCTCGCAGATCGAGCCGAAAACTGGCTGCCCTAAATGCGAGTGTCGAGATCCTTGCCGCGGGATCGTCTGTCCAGGGACCAGTCAAACGTGCGAGTTGATTGATGTAACGTGCGCCCGTCCACCCTGCCCGCCAATTCCCAGCTGTCGCAAGGCCAAGTCACTGTCGACGATCTGCCCAGCCGGCGAACCGCTGCAAATCACCAACTCGCCGAGGCCGTTCCTCTGCGGCGATTCGCCTGGCAAACCGAGCTGCCCGCCGATGTATAGCTGCCTGGTCGAGCCGAAGCAAGAGTACGGAGTCTGTTGCCCGTCCAACATTAATCTGAAGCGGCCGGGAACCTGCCCGTTGGAGGAGCCAGCTATCTGTGGCAATTCCTGTCAGCATGACCTGGAGTGCCCGGGCCCGCAGAAATGTTGCAAGAGCGAGAAGTGCGGCGGAGGCGTTTGCTCTGTCCCGCAGGGGCTCAGCGCTTGTCACAGGGACCGGGTGCTCGCCGAGATGCTGAGTATCTCCGAGAGACAGGGCCGTGGATATGTCCCTCAATGCACGGAGGGTAAGAAATCTAAGAAATAATTTGGTTGTTTGGTTATTAAAGATTGTTAAGGTCAAGGGTGCGTGACACTTGGATGTGCCCCAACTGGGCGTGGCAAATCAGGAATTTGATCTCCTTAGAAACTTCAAACGAAGGAGACTCGCAAATTTAGGTCAGTTTCTAAGACGAAGTTACCATGGGGATCGTTATGTCATAACAAGTGCGTACTCGGGGGATTGTGTATGCAGCGGGATCGTTTTCAGAAGATGATTGTTCTCAGAAATGCTGTCCCACTCTCGTGGGAGAAAGTTTGGAAACCTTCTCCTATATTTCCTGATTGGTCTTGGCACATCCTCTACACACGTCTCCCTTAGAAAGTGTAATTCAAGTTTCGATAAAAGAGAGGACTTTAACTAGTCAGAAGGAGAACTCTTAAACAGAAGAGTTCAGTTAGTCAGTTCAGTCATTGTTTAACATTCTTGATGCAAGCAAGAATCGCATAGGAGCCACACAATAAAATCAATTGTCAGTTAAACAATTACTCAGACACAGCTAAAAAGGAGTATCATGACAATAATCAAACAGTTACAGTTTTTCTGCTTATTAGTAGTTACAACAATCGTCAGTTAGTCAAGTTAACAGTAAATCATAGGTTTAGCAAGATCCGTCATAGTCACTTTATTTATTGATTGTATCAATTTCTTGCTTAAATATGAACTTACACTCCTAACTTAAACGCTCTCGGAATTCTGTAATGAGGTAAATCTGACGCTAAGTGGAAACCTCAAGTGAAATATTAGACCAAGGTTGTTTGATGAAAGATATTCTACGGTAGAATTGTCTTCATCTGAACCTGTTGATGAGCAAACAGCTTATGTATATAGAGAGGTTTGTACGTGCAGCAAGAATTTGCTGATTCTATCGGTACTAACAACTTCCTGGCTGAAATAAGTGAGTTTACATTTCTGATTGCGTTAACGTGTTTGCAATTGAAATTTGATTCAGAGATAATTGAAGTTTTACTTACTAACTAGATGCTGCTAGATAATCGATATTATCTTGGAATTTTCAGTTCTCTTTTCTCGCAGATGAAACGAATGTTAATGGCATTTTTGATTTTGCAGACGGAGGATACGAAGGTAGGCAGTGTTCGAGAAATGGTCTGGTTTGCTGGTGCGTGGATAACAACGGTCGAAAGATATCTGGAACCATGGGGCCAGCGGATAAAGTCGACTGCAAGTCGATAACGAAGGGAAGATCACTTCCGGCGTCTTGCGTGTCCCAGCAGTGCGCCCAGGTCTGCCAATATGGATTTAAAACTGACGCCTCCGGGTGTCCAACTTGCGAATGCGACAATCCTTGCGAAGGGTATGTGTACAATCACGTCCGCTTAAGTGCAATTTCTTCCGTACCTAACTGCTTTCTTCGCCAGTTTCCCGTGCCCGATTGGAGAGCAATGCGTTCTGCATCGCGAAGACGGGTGTCCAGACTTCCTCTGTCCAACGAGGCCAGAGTGTAAACTGAGGAAGTCTTATCAAAGCCCTTGTGTTTACGGAACTCCTCTAATCGACGACGAACGGAACGCTGTAACCTGTTCTGAGAACGACACTTGTCCCCAAGGCTATAAATGCACCGTTGTGCCGGAAGCCGGGCAATCGGTATGCTGCATGACGTCAGCCAACTCCACGAAACCACAAACTAGTAAGTTATCCACTATCAAATCAACTCAACAACGTTCCCTATCTGCATTATTCAATTATCATGGAATTATTCCAGTGTGCGAATACCTGAGAGAATTCAACGAACGTATGGAAGGGACCAGGGAGGATATGTCACTGGCGATATCGCCGCCTCAGTGCGAGAAGGACGGCAGCTACAAACCTCTGCAATGTTACAACGGTACCTGTTCCTGCGTGAACGATCGTGGCGTTGTTCTGAAAAGCGGCGTGAATCGCAGCACCGATTGTAAAGAGATAAACGATCTTCTCAAGCTGTGCGGGTCTCTGTCCTGCGATTTAACGTGTCCCTACGGCTACGAGGTGGATGTGACCGGTTGCGAGCAGTGTCGCTGTCACGATCCCTGCAAGGACGCTACGTGCGGTTCGCACGAGATATGCACGATGGTCGACGTGAATTGCGGGTCGGGGCAGAATTGTCCAGCTGTTCCAGCTTGCCTGGCCATGAAACCAGGCCAGTGCCCGTACTTGGTACCGAGTTCGTCCAGTTGCGAGCTGCAGTGCAGCAACGATCAAGAATGCTCCGCCACGGAGAAGTGCTGTTCGACGGGTTGCGGGACGCAATGCGTGGCTCCAGTAATGGCCACGGCTTGCCAGCACGCTCGCGCGGTGGCGGAACACGCGGCCAGGGAGTCCGGTGAGCCAGCCAGAAGGATTTACATACCCAGATGCGACGCCAGCGGAGCGTTCGAGCCGGTTCAATGTCACAACGGGATGTGCTGGTGCGTGGACAAGGAGGGCAGAGAGGCGGCAGGTACCCGCGTCCTCGAGGGCGTGGTGCCAAAGTGTAACACGCCGCTCAGGTGTCCAGAGATCGACTGCAAGCTCGACTGTCCCGACGGATTCGAGCTGGATCCCGACAGTGGTTGTCCAACGTGTTCCTGCCGAGATCCGTGCAAGAGCGTGACGTGTCGAGGGGAGAACGAGGCTTGCAGAATGGTCGAGGTGGCGTGTAGCGTGCCACCGTGCCCACCGGTACCGGTCTGTTTGCCCAAGAAGGACAATCCTTGCCCGAACGGATCACCTCTGTTGGATCAAAATGGTTCACCAGCGATTTGCGGCCCGCATGGTCAACACTGTCCATCCACGCACAAGTGCGAACTCTCTCCCCTGGACGAATACGCTGTATGCTGTCCGAAACCTCGCGAGGTTTGCTTCGAACCACCGCGAAAAGTACCGTGCAATCTAGGAATGGGTTTGAACGAGACTGAAAGATGGTACTTCGATCCGGAGCGCAACGAATGTAGGAGAAAGTCCGAGTGTACTTTGGGTTACAACGATTTCTCCAGCCGTCTGGTGTGCGACACAGTCTGCCCTGTGTTGTCGCAGTGCGAGAGACTCAGGGAGAAGAACTTGAAGACATCTCAGAGGCTGAAGCAACCGACGTTCTTACCGAGATGCGACCCGGAGAACGGCATGTGGGAAGCTGTACAGTGTCTGGAGCACGTTGGCGTTTGTTGGTGCGTGAACCGGAAGGGTCAGCCGGTGAAAGGTTCGCTTACCAGAGGCTCGGAGCCCAAGTGTAACTTCAGGCAAGCCAGACGGGGGGGCAGGGGGCCGGCGATACAGGAAATCGACCGTGAAATTCAAGCGTTCATGGAGAATGCTCTGATTAACTTGGAAACGGACGAGAAGCAGATTGGGAAAGTGTTGGGCACACGGTGCCAGGCGATGAAGGACAAGGGCCACGTTCCGGCCATTTGCGATCGTCAGGGCAGGTTCGAACCGACGCAGTGCGCTGGCGATACATGCTGGTGCGTCGACGAGGCCGGCAATCAGCTCATCGGCTCGGAACCGTTTCTGAAAGGAACGAATATTTGCTGTAAGATACGATATCTCTTTTTATCTGTCGCGCGTTGAGTCACTTTGTAAATCTTGATAGGGTCAGTTGACGTTCAAGGAGAAATAAAATAGAAACGTAATGGACAAGTAATCAATATAATTATTCGACAAATATCATTTTCCAGTGCCAACTCCAGTTGAAGCTGTCGAGGTAACTCTACGTTTCCCCGGTCGATTCCTCAGCGACGACGAAGCCACGCTGGTCAGACAAACGGAAGATCTTCTACACGACTTAGGCGCCAGGATAAAGGACGACGTACGAGTGGAGATCAATCAAGATTCAGCTATACTCAGCTTCGAAGTGATAGGGCCGAACAAAGTAGACGTGGCGTTCCACTTGGAAGAATTAACCAGAATACAAAAGCTGTCTATGTTGGGATCATTCGCGGACGCAACTACCTCCCGTTTCACGCACAGATCACCTCCGATTGCTATGCAAAGTAGAATCGTGGCGTTGGAACAGCGAGAGATCCTCACGGAAGTAGAAACACCCGTTTATCAAACTGCCACTTTGGTCCTGGCCGCTGGAAGCGCTTTCATAATTAGCAGTTTGCTCATCTTGCTGATGCTCTATCGTAAAAAGGTACATTTACACTCTCAATTCATCATTTTTCCATTGATTTTTATGCTTTTATTTCTCTACTGTCTCATCTTTCTCTTCTAATCTTTTGTTGTTCCTTGAAAGTAGATTGCAAGATTAAATACACGAATAAAGAATAATTATTTGTTTCAGATAAAGATGAAAGATCCATCGAAAACTTTGGCGGCGGACCAGCATTTTCTCGCGTATCAGCAACCGGTGTATGTGATATCGGGCGTGGAACAGGAAGAAAAGAAGAAGGATATGGCCGAAGCGCAAGAGAGCGCGTCTACGTCGGATGTGGTCATCGGTACATAGAGAAAAAAAAAAAAAAAAAAAAGAAAAAAGATCGAAAGATCGTCGAGTAGATCGCCCTTATCTCGTGCGCGAATATAGTCACGATCGAAGCCACGTAATCCCCTTCGTATTTCAATGAGATATTTATTCTTGAATATGAGATACCTCGCGACTGCCAGAATCGATGGTCGACCGAATGGATTGTAAACAGTGCTTCCTATTTCTGTGGATATCTCCCGTGATATCGATTCCACAATATAAGGATGTAATGTCTATGTAATGGCTATGGGCAATGCAATTTGTTATAAAGAAAAGGAAGAAACAAATTCGGTCAGTCGTCGAGAAATAGTAGTTCTTATTTAGAACGATCTGATATTCTCGCGGGTCTCTCTGTTTCGTTTCGTACGTATCGGATTCACCAGCGCAGGGATGTCCCGGCCCGGAGAACGAAAACGGGAGGATATCGTTGCGTTAAATGTATATCATGGGTGTAAATATTAGACTCATACTGTGTTCGTTTATTTATATAGCTCAATAAAGATCGGAAATTCCTTTATCCGTCAGAGTGTCGTTATTAATACGTTTAGATCATTACTTTGGACGCTAGAGGCCAACCGTTTACCCAATCAGAGATCTGTTTCCCTAAATCTGTGTTCCCAACTTGATCCGTACAGAAAGAAACGTCTTTCAACGTCGAGCTAATAAATTAATCTTACCGTAGTGAAGCAAAGGTAAGTTTCTCTCACTTGAAACGCTCGATTCACCAAAAATATTTCGTTTTCAAATGGTTCTGGATTTTTCAGTAAACGCTGGATACTAGTAGAAGCGTAAGTAGAGGCGCGCTTTTTTTAGCCAGACCTCCGGCCAATCAGATGGCTGTGCATCATTCTAGTGTTTCTACTTGTCCCACACAAGCTCTCCATGTAGTCGAGCGAACAATGTAATTCACACACGGAGAAATCACCTTATACGTTCGTTTAATTTCATTGTGTTCGATGTATATATATATATATTTTTTTTTATGCAATATTTGTACAAAAGCATGTCGAAAAATCAAGTGTTCGTACTCTCGAATTTGGTGCACGAACGGCATATCCGCGGGTGAAAACGCAGCCTGAGCTTTCGACGGAAACGCACGAAATATCCCGAAAGGCATTCGAGGCCGAGATCGAGTCGCCCTTTAGACGAAGCGCGGAGTGACCAATCGAGCGGTTCGGGTCGGTGGGGCTGTCCAGGGACGGTAAACGAGTGCTTTATCCGCGATACGTCGTTCTTTTTTTTTTTTCCTTTTGAAGAAAAACCGTCACGAGACTGCGAGAGATCGGTGTGAGACTCGTGCACCCTTCGGGAACTTCGTTCAGTGGCCACGAAGAGGGAGGGAGGGAGGGAGGGGGGGGACAAGAAACACGAGAAAGGGACAGGGAATCGAAGGAGAGGTAAAAAAAGGAGCTTAATGGCTCTCAGGAGATCCGGAACACAAGGACAGACGTTGCACTCGCGAACGGGGCGCCACGCAATAAACATCATCGCCTTTCGTTCACTCGTCCTGCATCCACCACCTCTGCGCCTCTGCGTTTTCGGCAAGCATTCACCGTCGTCAGCTCTGACTCCGTTCTCGTGTCTGTTATGTGCGAATGCGAAGAGAGCCGAGTGTTTATAACTGCACGGTGCTGGCGGCGGTGACGAAGGGAAAGGGAAAGGGTGGACGAGAAAGAGAGAGGGGGAAGAAATTTGGAAGCGAGATAAAGAGAGACAGAGGTGCAGAAAGGGAGAGGAAGAAAGAGGACGAAGGAGAAAGAGGGATACGTAGCTAGAAGAGAGTGTGCGTGCGAGAGTAAGAGGGACAGGGAGAGAGAAAGAGAGAGAGAGAGGGCCAAAGGCTCGTCGGACGGAATATTCGAAGCGGTGCGCCACACATTTTCTACGGAAGGTCGTATTTATCGCGGGAACCTTGTTGGTGACATTATTTCAATTATTGAAGATTTTGATACACGTATATATAATATATATATATATATATATCTATATACACACATATATATATATATCTATATATCGAACCTTCCTTATAGCGATCGCTTCCAATTGAAAGAACATTACTCGGTTACAACAACGGTGGTCCGGCTATTTAACTATCTATCTACTTAACGTCGATTTGAAATTCTGGATAACCTGATCGCACAGAAGCTTGAAGTGTCAGCTCGTCGACAGGCGTGACAGCCTCTCGTCGACTGTCTCGTCCATCCTCTGTCCTCCCTTTCTTGGTAAATATCGGCGTCGGTGCACCGTCATTCGATTCCGCGATGTTCACGGGGACAGTGAAGATCGAAATATGCCAGGCAGTCGGGCTAAGGGCGACGGACAAGCAACGAAAGTTTTGGCAAGATGAGCCTATACTCGACCCCTATGTTCAGCTGGACGTCGACGAGAATCATCTTGATCGTTCGTCGACCAAGCCGAAAACGTTCGACCCGGTATGGAACGAATGTTTCACCCACGAAGTCCAGGATGCAGTGACACTTGGGTTGACCGTCTTCCACGACGCGGCACTACCGCCGGATTACTTCGTCGCCAACTGTAGCATTCCTTTCGAGGAACTTGTCAGCAGGAATGACAAGACTGCAGACCTTTGGGTTGGTTCTCACACAGTTTTCCGGCTGCTCTTTTTATCATACATAGACACATGTTTCTTTTGGTAAACTTTTTTTGTTTTGACAGCAAAGTGTTTTCTTTTTCTTTTTTTTTTGTTTATTTATTTTTATCTCTATCTTTTCAAATTCCGTGGACGCATGTCTCTATACTTTGACCACCAGTTTGTTCATAATTATGATTTAATGGGTTCATGTTAATTTCGTGTTGACATTGTGATGTTTGTTGTTGACATATGTAGTGGAACAGTAACGTGTAATCTGTGTCTGTCTTTTTGTTATGACATAGGACAATTCAAGGTAGCCTGATAAGATTATGTCAACAGAAACCAGAAAGCAAAGATAGGCGATACACATTTCTTAGATCTGAGACACACATAATGACTGGAGTTTTGTCTAGTTTCTCTGAAATGTTGAAACAGTGTATAAAAAGTGTAATGCATTTGTGTAATATTTCGTTTGCACATTAGGAAAAAGTTTTATAGCTTATTAAAAGAATATTATTATTGTATTTATATCATACTTACAAATTGTTCATAATACTGATAATAATGGTAGAACTATTGAATATTTGATTTGAATTAAGACTTATATTTATGTTTGTTATAAGTTTTAATTATATAGTAACTTTTTCTCATTTTCCAATGCCTTCAGATAACGATATTAATTACTATGAATTATTATAAGAAATTAAATTCATTTTAGGTTGATCTCGAACCTCAAGGAAAGTTAAGAGTCAGAATTGATCTAAAGTGGAATGATCAAGGTAACGAACAAGTAGTAAAATGATACATAGGACATACTTCTACAATGAAATTCTAGATCAACAATCAGGTTGTGGTACAGGTGATGGAGAAGGAATCGGAGGCAGAGGTGGTGGAAGCATTACTACTGGGAAGGAACCCAGAAGGGAGTTCAAAGAAAGACAGGGTTTCAACCGGCGTAGGGGTGCTATGCGACGTAAAGTTCATCAAGCAAATGGTCACAAGTTTATGGCTACCTTCCTGAGGCAACCAACTTTCTGTTCTCACTGCCGTGAATTCATATGGTATGTGTTTTGATAAAAATATATGGATAACATTGCTTAGTTTCTAACTCATAAGCATATATTGACACAAACTCAAAACATTTACTAATTTCAACCATTTACTTATATGAAATATTATATATTTAATTCAGTGTGTATATTTTGAAACGTGATTGCAATTAGGCTGACTTAAGTTAGTTTGTATTACAGCATAATAGACTTATGCACATCAAATTAATATAAGATTTTGATTTTTTGGATAATTTAAAAGTATTAAAGTTGCATGCTTGGGTTTTTGGTTTCTTAGAATATACTGTAGTACTATTAATATTAAGGAAAAAAATTATATATTTTCTTAATAATTTGATAATACAGATATACAGAAAATAATTTTAAGTTAGTTTACCAGCACATAATATTTGGAACAGGGAAGTGACTATTTTAACAAACACCTTGAGTTGAGCTTTTAAACACTCCTTTCTTTTCAGTAATATAACAGTTACGTAATACTCTACATATTCTGTTGGAATAAATCATTTAATTAAGAAATAGGCTGCATGCATTGGTTTTGCAAGCATATACTATATCTATTGTTTGGTGAAACATCTCACGAAATAATATATATCATTATGCCTGTAGAAGTTTTCTGATATAATAAATTATTAAAAAAAAAAGAAATACTAGAAACATCTAAGACAGAAATACAAATTGAATAGTAATCTTTGCTAATCATTCTTAAGAGGCTAGCATAAATGTTGAATTATGGTTTTCTGGCCCAAGAAAGCATACGTATGTGTTTTATGAGGGTATACAAGGAGACGATGTGATGTGTTTTGTCTGTTGTATTTCAGGGGCTTGGGCAAGCAGGGCTATCAGTGTCAAGGTGAGAAGACACATACACGTTATTAACAAATATTATAATTATATATTTGCTTGCTCTACCTATGTATGAATATATATTTACCTAGGTGTGTGTATGTGTACTTAGTTCTTTATAAAAAAAAATCAAAGTATTTAGGAGTAAACATTCGTGATTCAGTTTGAAATATTTCAAATCTGCAGCGTTTAATTTAGCCCATGGCTCAATATCTAATGCTATGCTTTCTTTAATGAAACTTGAAAAATAAAACTTAATGTTCATAACACATCAATCAAGTTTTTATTACAAATTGTATTAGCTATGATTTAATATAGTTATAAGTGGGGATATATCTCATTGCATGTTTCTAAACAAACTGTAACAAATCATCAGGAAGTTCTAACAGTTTCATCTTATCATGTCCTATATTCTGTCTTCAATGTTTAAGCTTATACAGTTCTTATGGCAAGACTCACAACATCCACCAAATTTTATTTATGTTTTTCATTTCAAATCAATGCGTTTAATCACGCATGCAGCCAGGCTTTGGTTATGCTATGCTAAAAGTCATTTGTATCAAAAAAATGTATACATTCAATTAGATTTTATTATGTTTCAGTCTGCACATGTGTAGTTCACAAAAGATGTCACAAGCTGGTCATCACAAAGTGTCCAGGCATGAGAGACGAGGTAAGTGTAATCTATTGCATATTATTTGTATTTTTTTAAAAAACCAAATTGATTAATATTTAAATTAATATTGATTTTCAGTCAAGTCAAGATACAGAAAGTCCACGTTTCAGTATAGATATGCCACACCGGTTTGTTGTTCATAATTACAAAAGATTTACGTTTTGTGATCACTGTGGATCACTCTTGTATGGTTTATTTAGACAAGGCTTACAATGTGAAGGTAAATATCCAGTAAATAACAGAAACAATATAATATATGACATTGTATGAAATCAATATTTTATGAATATGTAACATTTAACTCTGGTGTTTGTTTATGCAGCTTGTAATATAAATGTTCATAAGAGATGCCAGAAAAATGTAGCAAATAATTGTGGCATTAACACTAAGGCTATGGCTGAGATTTTAAGTGCAATGAATATATCACCAGATAAACAGATAAAAACTCCAAAAATTAATTATAGAACGACAACTTGTCAGTCTGGTCAAACACCTGCAACAGTAACAGTCACAGACATATTACCGACGGACAATTCACAGCCAATTCAAAAAACGGAAGAAACACCTCCTATCGCTACTGAAAACGCAGTACCTGCTAGTGAGAATGAAGTTAGGAAATTTGGTATCGAGGATTTTAATTTTATAAAGGTTCTTGGTAAAGGTAGTTTTGGGAAGGTAATGTTGGTAGAACGAAAAACCAATCCTGACGAAGTTTATGCTGTAAAAATTTTAAGAAAAGATGTAATTATACAAGATGACGATGTGGATTGCACAATGACGGAAAAGAGAATCTTAACATTGGCAGCGAAACATCCTTTTCTTACAGCTATTCACAGTTGTTTTCAAACAAATGACAGATTATTTTTTGTCATGGAATACGTGAATGGAGGTAAGAATTAATTAAACTATAATTAAAAATGATTATCTAGCGTTGCAATAGTTATTATTGGTATTATTAGTATTATAGTGTTTACAGTGTAAAAAATATTCGATGTCTTTCAGGTGATTTAATGTTCCATATCCAAAGAGCACGAAAATTCGACGAAGCAAGAGCACGCTTTTATGCGGCAGAAGTTACACTTGCGTTACAATTTCTTCATAGGCATCACATTATTTATCGAGATCTTAAATTGGACAATATAATACTCGATGCGGAAGGTCACTGTAAATTAGCAGATTTTGGAATGTGCAAGGAGGGTATTATCGAAGGGAAAACGACTACGACAACATTTTGCGGTACACCCGATTACATTGCGCCTGAAATTCTTCAAGAATTACAATACGGCGCGAGTGTCGATTGGTGGGCGCTTGGCGTTTTAATGTACGAAATGATGGCTGGTCAGCCACCTTTCGAAGCCGATAACGAAGACGATCTATTTGAATCCATTCTACGAGACGACGTCCTTTACCCTATCTGGATCTCAAAAGAGGCAGTTTCTATTTTAAAGGGATTCATGACAAAAAATCCGGCTAAGAGATTAGGTTGCGTGGTCGCTAACGGCGGTGAGAGTGCTATAAAGATCCACCCGTTTTTCCAAGAAATAGACTGGGAAGCACTTGAAGCAAGAAAAGTGAAACCACCAATTAGACCAAAAACTGTAAGCTCATATTAAATATCTTTATATATATATATATATATATATATATATATATATATATATATATATATATGTCAGTTTGATTTTTAGTTGAAAATCATTTCATGGTAATTGTGCGTGTTTTAGAAAAGCAAAAAGGACGTAATGAATTTCGATACGGAGTTCACAAAAGAAGATCCGGTATTAACACCAGAAGATCCGGACGAAGTGAGCTACATAAACCAAGAGGAATTCCAAGGCTTCTCCTTTGTCAACAAAGACTTCAACCCTGCCAGGTTTGGAGCACAGTAGGAAGTAAGAAACGAGCAAATGAAGAGGATTCAATGTTAATATCATCTTAAACGCTTCTTGCTTGGAAAATTGGCAAGCATGCCAATCTGCAAAGCTGAACATCGGCGTTTTGAAGCTGCTCGAGGTCTCCTTTGTATTTTATCTCCACCGGGGATAATTTTACGTGTCATTGGAAGCAACGTTCAAGCACTGCACAAAAAAAAAAGTGGTGGAAATCGACAGGAAATTGGGAAAACCAGCTAGAAACTTCGGTCTATTTCATGTACAAAAAAAAGAAAAAGGTGGTAATTTTCGTAAAGAATTTGGTTGCTAACAAGGAAGCGTGATCTCAATTCGACAGAAATGAAATGCGTTTGAACCTAAGTGTCTTAAGGTTTGGTAAAATTCTTGATTTCCTTTGTTTTCTCGAAACAAAGACGAATGTGATCTAGAGGAAACGTAAGTGAGAGATTTCATTTGTAACGAGTTGACGAGCAGAAGGTTTACTCGCTTCAGAAATTAAGTATCGGTTAAGAAGAAAGTTAGTACAAAAGGGCAGAGCAGAAGAAGTCATTTTCGATGGCAAAGGATCGCTGGGCGATCTATCGTTTTTCCGTTGATATCTTACTCTTGAAAAAGATTCGAATCGTATCGAATTTTTCAGTCTTAACCGTGTATTTCGTTTCCTCTTGAAGCTTCTTTCATAGGACGTCTCTTACTAGAACGTTTTTCATTAATGACGGAAAAGAAAGTACACGCACAGGAACAACTATGAATCCGCAGGATACGAAACACATTGACGTATCGATTTTTTTTATTGAAATTTAGTTCCATCAGTGTATAGAAAATTTCGTCTGATTTACAAACTGCTGGTTAATCTAAGAACTTGTCAAATTACGTATACATTCTTTTTTTTTTTTTTATCGCCGACGTACTTATAGACTTAATTTTCGTTGCGACTCGCGAAAAATATTTTTCACTACCGACAGAAACACCGATAAAAACACCGATAAAAACACCGACAAAAAAAAAAAAGGAAAAAAAGGATTGAAATTATTCTGATTATTACTTAAGTCGAGTTTGTAGGTCTTAGCGTAGTGTATCAAATCACTAGTGATCAAGACTGAAATAAAAGCTGGGGCTTGACTTTTAGCTGAGCACCAGCTGCAGTAATTAGTCTGTGTAAAACCTGTGCATACATATAGTATCATATAAAGTAACTTACATAGAAAAAGAAATCGAGAAGTTATGTTCCGATTCGAGCCGAGATCTCGCGTCTTCGAACGGTCTAAACTTTTCGTCGAGCTTTATTCAGAGGAGCATCTCGCAGCGCTTCTCCGATAGGATTTAAATAAAAGAACAAAGTAATAATAATAATCATTAAAAAAGAAAAAAAGAGGGAAGGAGAAAACTAAAGGAAGTTATGCTCGCCTGGTGAAGATCGAGCAGGATACGATCTGACCAGGTGGACATGCCAGTTTCATACTTAACATAGAATTTTAAATCGCAGATCACAGACGCGACGGTTTCCACTGGTGGTACCGTCAAAGTTAACACAAAATGATATATATATGTACGTACATGTACACGTATAAATTTAACTTATTTTAACATACGCCTAATGTTACAGTGGACAAAACGGATCTCGTTATCAGGAACACCGGGGAACGTATAAAAGTGATTGATCTCCGGTGAAATTCTCTGGTGTTGCTGTGTCTATCGAGTCTTTCACAAAGTGTTATATAGACAAGGCATATATATATATATATATATATATATATATATATGTATGTGCATATATATGTATATGTATATATACACATACATACCATATATGCTTTGTAAAGTTACCGCTAAGCGAATTAAGGAAGTCCACCTAGCGATATCGATGCACTTTCCGGAATCTTCGTACGTGTTGTCTCTAGTTAGGTGTCTCTTTAAAAGCTTGAAGCATCAACTGATGTTGTACTTAAAATTAGAGAAAGCTGAAAGCTCCTTAGCGTTAAGTGATGAGACAGAGTCGAGCCTTATCCGCACCATAAGAACGCTGAAACGCGATGAAAGAAAGCGATAAAGAGATGAAAGAAAGCGATAAAGAGACGAAAGAAACCAACCGGAGGGATTGCTGTATCGAGTTTTAGTACCGACCTGTTGGCCCTAGCGGCTGATAAAGGTAAATTAAATCCGAGAGAGTACATTAGGCGAGGGTACGTACATTTTTTTCGAAGCTTTAAGAAGCGAAACAGAAAATACTCTAATATTTGGGCACGTAGTCCACCGTTTTGTGCCGTCGAGTTTATACCAAAGATTTCCGTTCAGATTCCCCCGTGAAGAGAGAAAAGAAGAGCCTCGCGAGACGAGCCGAAATGATTCCCCATATCGATCCGATTTTCAATCTTTGGTGTAAACTTCAATCGTCGTTGATAGTTTTAACGAGAGGGAAGTTTAATTGATAAATAGTAACGATAGATGATAACATTAGTTAGTCGATAATATGTTTTAGCGATTATAAATTGACAGAAACCGGGCGAGGACACTGCGGCGAGATCGTGCAGTAGTGCAAAGCAAAACTAAAAGAAAAAAAAAAAAAAGAAAAAAATATATATATATCTTGGCGTGTGCTGTCTACCAGCGGGCCACTGGACGACAAACACTCAGCCCCAGATTGTATTCGAGTGGCTCGCTGGCGCGATCCAGATACGCGTTACTCAGTGTCGTGATCATTGTCGTCGTGTCATACTCGTACATTTTTATGTCCTCCGTAGATGTTAGGTTCATTTGAAAGCAAAAGAGGAAAAAAGAAAAAAGAAGAAAAAAAAAAAAAAGAAAAATTCATTGGTCGAGTGCCGCCCTCTACGTGCTTCGAATCTGTGCAGGACTTGAAAGTATTGAGAGCCGCGGCACCGAAACCTGCGATCAAACGACGCGAACAAAACGATGTCCCAAGCCACGACGCATCTCGGCACGATCGTACTAGAAACGGACGACGTACGAGATGAATGCAAGTGAGAGTACAAGGAGAATTCACTTAATTAGATATAAACGTTGATACGACGTCGCTTTTATGAAAGCAGCGTTGAACCCGCGGCCATCGACACGAAATAATGATCGTTCGCATGTAAATGTAGCTGATCGTATCTTTTTATAGCTTTTGCTTGCATAGCAATAATTATTGACCAGTGAATAATAGTATTCTATATAGTAGAACCGATCGACCGATGAATCGACGATGTTCTCCGTGTACTAAATTCAGAGTGCCGCATCCTTGTCGTTGGCGTGATACTTTCGTGAAAAATGAAATTTATCAAAATACGTAATACGTAACGATCAATTTTTCAAATTTTTCCAATTTTCATTCTCGGTATCAGAGAGTGAAGTAAAGAAAAGTGGAAGAAAAGAAAGGAAATATCCAATTGACAAGGATCTGTACTCGGATTCGTCTGCGTTCGTATACTTATCGTAAAAATCTAGTCAGAACGAGAAAATACGAGAAAATACCAATAAAATACCAAGAAACTACCAAGAAAATACCAAGAAAATACGGTCTGGCTCGAGGTGTATCGAGCTACGAAGTAGGTTATATATTTTAAATTCATGAGAGACGAGTTAGTCCGGCCTACGCTTAAAAGAAAAAAAAAAAAAAAAAGAAAAAAAAGAAAAAAGAAAAAAAAAGACGGTTTCGTGCGTTATTCGAACAGAAAATTATTGCTATACCGTGTACCTATCGTTACGTGTAGAATTGTCGCGTAACAATTATTCGTACGTTTAAAAAAAGAAAACAAAAAAAGGAAAAAAAAAAGAAAACGGACACTTTATCGACGCTAGGCGTAGTAAAGCGCGGTTTCTTTTTTAGTCTTATATCCGGTGTGTATTAGACGAGAGATTTTTCTGCACCCCGCGTGTCGTATTGTCGATAATCATATCGCAGTGCATCTCTTCTTTTTTTTTTTTTTTTTCGTTGTACGTACGTCGTTTTTGTCAGAACAATCGATTCTCGATGGTCGTTGAAAATGGCGCGAGTCAGACGAGAGAATGTAACGATTGCCGTCCTAAACACATCGATACGTCGAGCAAGGTTAATCGATTATCGAGAGGTCCCTTTCGACTTTGCAGTTGTGTAGAAAGTAAGCCCACATTGGCGAATTTATACGTTAAAGTCATAACGCACGCGGTTATAAAGTATCACGAATTCCGATCCGTCGAGATTTGAAATGAAAAATAACATTCGTTGATGAAAGACCATTCGTCGAATAACCAAAGTTGGAACCTCATCCGTTGCGCGGGAAGGAAACATGCTCGAGAGAGGAACAATTTTTCGAAACGTGCAGTTCACTGCTATTGTTATTGTTACAACGATCATCGAGCTGACAAAGATGTAATATTTTTCCTTTTTTTCTTTTTTTTTTTTTTTTTTTAGATATTATACGCTGTTTCTCGTTAAAGAAAAAACGTGTGACGTTTCGTTTATATTCTATTATACATGTTACATTGTTCCACAGTATTTACATTTTAATTTTTGTACGAATGTTTTTGGGATGTTGTGCGCGGCCAGGTCGCGTTAATAGCTGAATGTTAAGATTGCTAGTTAATTGGCGAAAAGTATACATATATTTTTGTAGTTTTTAGTTAAGCGCGTCAATTTTTTTTTTTTTTGCAGACTTTTTTTCTATTGAAACTTTTAGTCCTTATACTTTCCTCCCCTCCCCCCGTTCTTTTTATTTACAGCAATCGAATTGGAACGAACCTTCTTTTCTACTTGATTTCTACATTTTATATGAGTCGTGCGCATGCGTAAACTTTTCTAATGATCGTGCTTCGCAGGATCTAGCTTCGCATCACGTGATGACTCGTTTATATTTTTTACCGTCGCGTAACAAGGAAAATGCAAAAAAGGGAAAATATCTTTACGCATGTATATGAATTACATGCGTGATAGAGTTTCGTGTTATACAATTTAACGGGTATGTAATCATTAAGATTATAATTTTTTGATATGTGCACATCTTTCGGTTATCGAAGAGGAACTATCGTCATCAATTCGTGGCGTGTAAGTAATGTATTTGCAAAAGTGGTTAGATTGAAAAACAAGAGGGTGGAAAGGGGAACGAAATGAACAAAAAAATCAGAGTACCTTTGTAAAGAGAAGAAATAAAGTATAAAGAGATAAATAAATACGTATAAATATACGTATGCGTATATTTAGCAAAGAAATTTACAGTAGGTATGTTAAAGGTAAATCTGGGTGGCGATACGATAGTATCTTATCAGGCACCGATCTTCTAACCTAATCCCATAAACAATTTTCGCCGTGAGATTTTTGTAATCGCTAGTCAATCGTGTTAAAATAAGGTTAGGGAAGGATGTAAGCAAAAGAAGAAACGAAAAGAAAAAGTTATGTGTCGTCGATGAAACGTTCCAATCGCTTTATTTTGACGAATTTCGGCTGCAATGCGCGCGCACGTGTATGTCACGTGACGTATATTCGTTAAAAAAAAAAAAAAAAAAAAAAAAGAAAAAAAAAGAGGGAAAACGGAGATTATAAGCGGAACTATGTATTTTTTTGACGGGTCGAATTAATGTACGTAAATAGCGAATGAATATATTGTATATATATATATATTAATATATTAATATATACAATATATATAATTAATATATACAATATATTAAGTAAATTAAGATGATAAAAGAGAATTAAATATTGTTGCAATATAGAGTTTTAAGTAGGGTCAACCGTGGTACCCCTTTCCTTTTTAGAGTATAATTTATAAATATACATATATATATATATAAAAACACACACGCGCGCACGCAAACACACACAGTACATGAACAAGAAAAAAAATAGAAATGTATATATTTATAAATATATATATTTATAGGTGACATGACTAAATATATATAAATATGATATATTTATAAATATATATATACGTATTAGATATGGAATATTGTACTAAGGGTACGTCATGTTCATTATGTTTTTTTCAGACCTATGTTAAAATCCGTCGTTTTTCTTTCCGTTTCAACGATCTTGGTTTGCTTTTCCGTTTACGGGAACGCGGAACGTTTGCCGCATCTTTGACGAGGACTTTCGGGATTTATTCACGAAAGGAAGACGAAGAAATTATAAAAAGAAAATTAAAAAAGAGAGAAAAAAAAGGGACCAACATCGCTGAAAACGAACGAACATCGTGGATTTTATCCTAGGTCTGAAAGATATCGGAAGAAAAAGCGTACAAAAAAGGACAAACTTAATAAAAAAAAAAAAATATTAAAGAAAAAGATATCAAACTAGCTCCTAAAAAGGATACCAAGATCATGAACTCTGTAATATCGTAAACTAAATATTGCCTGTGCACAGTGTTGATAAAGATATTCTAAAAAAAAAAGAAAAAAGAAAAAAAATGGAACCATAAGATGCTACGAGAAAGCTACGTATCCGCGATCAATCACCGGCTCCTCTTTCGTGTGTGTTAAGCAATCGTCATATCTGATATAACTTTGTAATGATAGTAAATATACTATTAATAATAGAACATGTAAAATCGTGTGGACATAATTTTAGGTAACGGGGCAGAATAAAAATTTTCGTCGGTGATGCGAGAGAGAGAGACGAGTCTTCTGATCGTATCCAGGGATAGCTAGTAGCAGCTGGTGCGTGTAATTCGAATAAATCGTGAATAATTAGTGCTTCGATCGTATACCAGCGCTTCGATAAAATTTTACTTTACGCACACGTGCAAGCACGAAGCTACTGTACCTACGTGATACCCACACACTTGTAAAGGTAATATTTTTGAATTCGATCAAAAGTGTACATGGTATTTCAGTTCGCGCGAGGAAAAGCGACGTGATGTGAAATTTGCCTTTGCGTTTGAATCATTGGTCATCCGAACATGTGATTCGACAGCGTGGAGGCCGATTTTTAGATAAATTCGTTAACTCACAGTGGCTCGAAATGGTCCGCTTTCACAAACGAACGAGCAGTCAGCCGAGGGCTGGAAACTGATTTCCGCCTGCTTTCTCAAAAGTTACATACATATATAATCGAGAGAGTTTTAGTGTCTGACGAAAGTAGCCGTCCGTATGATCGAAAAACAGAAAAACAAAGAAAAAAAAAGAGAAAAAAAAGAAGGAGAAGAAGAAAGAAAGAAAGAAAGAAAGAGGTGAAAATAAGGAAGAAATCGAGCGAATCCGGGATTCGAGGATTTCGGTGAGCGAACGAGTAGTAATCGCTGTGTTATAATTGTATTAAAACAAATGTGTCGTTGAATTTTCATAGCGCATATTTATATGTATATGTTGATCGTATCATTGTCGTTATCGATTGTAGAATTTATGAAAGCTCTCTGCGTGTGTCTTTCGTTGCTTCAATCGCTACCACCTTTCTTTCCTTTTCACGTCACTTTCATACGCCGACCATTAAAACTCTCTCCTTTCACACTTTATCGATATTTATGATCAAACGTTCTTTCTTTTCTTTTCTTTTTTCTTTTTTTTTTTTTTTTTTATGTCTTTTATTTTTTTTTGAAATGTTTTGCTCAGAATGTATATCGTCGTTGTAAAGCTAAGCGTGCGAGCGGTAATATGTACATAAATGTAAGCGTATACAATGATGCGTCGTACATTGCGCGAGAAGAAGCAATTTTCTGAAAAGTGCTTGTTATCAGACATTATCCTTCTGTTCGACAAAGGTAGATTTTCACCAGCGTAGGATTATTAGAATAATTATTAAGTTTCGATCTTTTGTAAATAGAAGGAGGAGAGATACGAATGCGAAAAATGCACCGCTTCTTTTTGTACAGTATTACACGTATTATCTCTACGTTGAAATGTCAAGAAGGGTTGGAAATGATTTTCTCCCCGGCTTAAATTATCGGTATCATATTACGTATCAATGTTTCAGTTTACTTTTCAATTCGCGCACAAGTGCAGAGAACAATGCGTTAGATCGACCAACGCCCAGTGCGATCCACACAAGCTGTTGTAAACGTACAATTAGGGAACAAACATTTATTTTTTTATATGTACCCCAGCTGGTCGTTTCACGCGCGTGATTGAGGATCCGAACACCCTCGTATAGGCCAAAAAGAAAAAAAAAAAAAAAACAAAAAAAAAAACTGTTGTTTCGCGTCGTGTTATATCTTCTCGCACAAAGGAAAAACAAAAAACTTCAGCGTCTGTAAATTTCTCTCGTTAGAGTCTATAGAATCCCGGAATGTACACACAATTGCAGTCCCAAAGTTATTATACGTTTTACAGTAATGTTGTTGTAAGAATAGAAAGTCTAATTAACACGTTGCAATTAATACCTTGTGAAAACTGATGACACACACACACACACACACGTTACCCTTGTTATTGCAAGTATTATCGGCCATTTATATTCAGCCATCTTATCATTCATCGTTGTATCAAGTAACGTTAATTTTTACCACAGACAGAAGTATCGTTTGTAGAGTTGAAATCATTTAGAAGAGAAACGACGGTGCGCAATTGTGTCAGATGCTTCAGAGCGACGAATCGATTATTATTTTTGATTAGAACCGGCGATCGATCGGTCTGGTCGAGACACACACAAAAGAAAGAAAAAAAAGTAGGAAAAAGAATGCCAAGTTTCCGAAACAATAAACGACTCGTCGAGGATCGAAGTTACACACGTCCAGTCGCAGTTTCTTTCTAATTAGAGATTTATTGCGTTGTTGATCGTGCTAATTCTATCTGACTTAAGCCTATTTCCATTGTTGAGGACACGCTAGTGACTGTTGCCGAGCCGAGAAGTCCGATGTCTAATTTATAAATGTGATAGAAAAA